TAAAATATTATAGGCCTATAATAAGCGGTAGAATTATAAAAATTAAACTAATTTTGAATTTCGTTGCGCACTAAAGCGATTCCAATCAGAGTCTATGCCAAAGCATATGCACGTTCTGTGTTGTATCATTAGTAGCTACTGATTACAGTTTACGTCCACAGACAAATAAAATATAGTAGAGGCTCGATTAACCGGACTAATTGTTGTCGACAGGCATTCGGATAATCAAAAATTCGGATATTCGAATGTATAAAGAATGATGTTGTATATTTGTTTAAAATAACAAAATGCATACATAGATATCAACGAAAATAATGTTTATTAAGAAATTGAAACTTCCTTATGTATGTACATATATATTTTATTTAATTACTTTACTTACATATATTAAACTGCAGCACTAATCATGCAAAAATTCGACTTGTAAGTATGTTCATTTATAGAAATTGGTCGCGGATAATCGCGAATCTGTGTAACTGAAGGCCGGATAAACAAGGTTCTGCTGTACATACATTTTCCTAACACGAAAAGATGAAATGATATCAATTAGAAAGCAAAAACTCTATTTTAAATAAACAGTTGAACTTTTGATCTGACTAACTCAATCTCAATTCATTTGAAGGAAAACATAGTCTAGTTGTCCATACCTTTTCCAAACTATTTCCGTCTGTTCCCAAAATCCAATTCTCCTCCGATTTCATCTATCTCATCGATAAATATTGTACGAAGCTCTTATTAGAATATGTACGAAATCAAATTAGCATGTATCCGGTTTTTATCATCAATGGCTCGAAAATCCATTCATGCCCGAGAAGGACGGGCGCATGCCCGACTACGACGGCCCAGAGTGAGACGGCGAGGCGCCCGTCTCTCCGACGACCTCCCATAAAGTACCTACACCTATACCTATATCTACCTATATGTACCTATACCATGTGTAATCATACATCGGAATATTTTAAACAAGTTCTCCTTGTACACGACAAATTATTTTCAGCTTTTATCTAAAGTCGATTCGGGTAATAAAATGACAAGTCGAGCGCGAGTGGAGGAAAGGAATAACAGTTTTGTATAACGCACCATCATTTGTTGAATTTGTTCTTTTTTACATATTTCGTTCCACTCGCGAACATTTTGTTCTGTTTGAAAACGAAAAGTTTTGACAGAAATTTTATTAGGGTAGAGCGGAGATTAAAAGTCCGAGGGTAAAAAGGTCTACCATCAATATCTCAAAAACAAGTAAAGTTAGGAAGTTTTTAACACAATATTTGCAAGTAGAGAGAAAAATGTATAACCAGCCTCATTGACCACATTGCTATCGGAGATAACTGGCAAAGGTTAACAATCCATACCGAAAGTATTTTTTTCGTTGTTAGGGTTTTTGGTTGTTAGCATTGTTGTTTAGTTTAAGAGATCTCAATATAATTGTTTTATAAGATTGTTATTTTTGAGTTACATTCAACAGATGTTTTTATTTAACATTTATTAAACCTTTATAAAAGCTCACAAGTGGATGAGGTATATTGTAGCTATTATTTCGTTAAATCTTTTTAAAATTAAAATTAGGGCATTGGGTCTGTTTGCCGCCTGGCTGTCTCATTTAACTTCGTCTATTAGATATTTTTTAGAAAAATAGTAAAAAAAACACATTTTTATATTAGGAATAAATCGGGAAATTAACTGAATATTATAAAATAATAGTTTGTTTTATAAGTAGTTTTTGTTGTGATGTAGGTTATTGGGATTTGATAGTATAATTACTGAGTCAAATTAGATCTTTTTTTGATATGCCATTCATTTAAAAAATAGCCATATAATATTTCTTTTAAGTAAATGTTATTAATTTGTTTTTTAAAATATTATTATAGAAATTGATTCCATAAATAAATTAGAGATAGTATACCACAATAATTGTAGTGATACATCAATTATAATTTAGAAATTTTATACCAATTAATAATCAGAACTATTATGTAATCTTCCCTTAAAACTGAATTTAATACATTTATATCTACGATTTTAGAAATCATTAAGTAAAATTTACATTTGAAAAACTGATCCTGCACGATCTTCTATGAAAAAAATTAGTAATATGATAAATATTTGATATGTCTCAAAATCTATAAAAATAATACTATGAAAATGCAAAATGATATTGAATCATCACTATAGAGAAATATTTATTTACTATTAGTAACAAAAAATTAATATTTCCCTATCAAATGTCTATATGGTTTATTATACATATTATGAAGAACAACTCTACATTTTAATTAGAATAGAAAATCATAGCTTAATTATGAAATAAATCAATGAACATGTCATGAATCATTCAAAGTATATGCATTAATTAAAAATGTTAAATTTTTTAACTTAGTATAAAAATAATATTTCAATGTTTAATAGTACAAGAATGTAAAATTATGAATGTATCCGTGACACATTTCTGCCATTAAAATTTAAATGAGAGTTAAAAATTCCTATAGTAAACGCCTGTGATTTATCATTTTATCCTATGCAAATCAACAATTAAAATTTTAATTACAATAGACTAATAAGCACAATTACAAGTTGCTTAATCGTTATGAAATGAATCAATCAACAAGTACTCAAAGATTTCATATTAATCAATAAAGGTACGATTTTTATTTAGGTTTTAAAGAAAACTTGAATCAAGGTTGTAGGATTATAAATCACTTTCCAATTGTGCATATTAAAATATTTTGCAATTGGATTTTGCTAATCACTATTGTCCTGTCATATGGTGTAACAATCGAGGATTGTTATAAATTAGTGTTGGTAATTTGGTTTGATGATTATTATTTATTAATAAAGTTATTGTTTTATGCTGTGGTAAATCTTAGTATGTGAGTTGTCAACTGCAATGAAAATCAGGTAGGTATTTAAGATTTACGAACCGAAAAAATTTAAAGTATAAAAACAACTAACAAGAAAAACCTTAGATCGCCTAGAACGGTAAAAAAAATTAATAAAAATAGCAAAAATGAACCTTTTAAAATATTGGAGTCCTATGAAAAGTGGTTTAAATATAAAAATTCAATTTTAGCAAATAAAAATTATATTTTTAACCACTGGGCGTATGTGCTAATTTGTAAACAACCAATTGTAAACACTTGTCAGCATTCTCTGCTAAATATAATTATTTTTTATAGATTGCAGAATAAAAATAATAAAAAAAAAAAATATTTTTAATAGGACAATTATAATTTCTATAAAACATATGAGCAGGTAGTTGTTGAAAATGTTATAATATTGTTCAATATTATTTATAAAGTAATTATTTTAGACTGAATTAATCAACATTAATGTATGTCCTTTTCCAATATCTATGTTCCAAATATGAATTTTCAATTTAAATGTATCCAAGAGGAAACTGTAACTGTAAATCAATATCCGCCTAAGTGTGTATAAGTAAAATGTTATGTATATATTAATAAGTCTATTGACAACAATGGAGAATGTAATAGTTGTACTTCCTATTGTAATAAATAAAAACATTATTCACCATGTCAGAGATCAGAACAAAACGCGTCCAAATAACATTCTGATATTAATTCAATCAATGACTTGTCGAAAT